AAGAAAAATTAATGTTTTCAAAAACTTTAATAGGAAATAAAATGTATATCTATAGACAGAAAAACAAAAAGTAAATTGCCTAAAATGTCTCCGTTAGTGTGTAGGCACTTAATCTCCGTGGCCAGTAATCAATATCACGCAGTACTAGTTGAGGAAAGCGCTCAACTGCTCGGACAATGTGCTCTATGGCATGCCATCCTCTCCAGTCCGGATCAAAGCCGATGATTTAGTGGGTTGAGATCAGAACTTTTTTTTTTTTTTTTTGGGTCCTCCCCTTCCTCGCCGTTAAGGCTATACGAGGTTTTCCCGGGCCAGAGGGTGTGGGCGGGGATTTAAAAGACTCCTCTGGCACCGGGACGCGAACTTGTGACTATTTTTATATTATTAATTCATAAATCAGGTTGCCGGGCAACGGCGGTGCAGTGCACACGCGTTAGCCCATTCGGCCACCCCGCCCACTAATAAGTTATAATGTTTAATCTTTTTACCATAAGACATGGTTATATGTTACCATTTTGGAGGAGGGGGCATCTGATCCCCCCTCCCCAGTAGATCCGCCAAAGGTGTGGGTGTTGATATATTTATTGATTTATAATTAATTAATAGATCTTGCGAGAAGTAGAATTACAAGGTTATAATCAACCATGATATGGAAGTCACATGTTAGATTCATAACCAGAGGATTTGTTTTGTCTTGAGCCGATGGTACGGTCGGAATCATCGGTTATAGCTGTTGTGGTTCGCATCGGTGGATTTATTTCGTGTCCTGGGTTCCCTTTACACACCATTAGGTCCCTTTATTTGTAAATCCTCATTTGGCCTGTATCACCAGATCCAGTAGGAAACCAGAGATTATCTGTGATTTAGTGTACCTAAACCACCCATTTGCTTCTATATAGCCGTACGTACAGTCTGCTCTATTGAAGTTTCACATGATATATATCATTTAGTAATTTTGATGTCAGAAATTTTTTATAAAATATATCGATGAATTGCTTAATAATTTTAAATGAGTTGAGTCATTATTGATCTGAGTTATTGAAGATGAAATCAACGTAATCGGTGAGTTATGGACATTTATATCCATGACATCAAATTAATTTTGCTGGATACATAAATAAATCCTGATATAAACTTTAATTGGATCACACAAGTCAGATAAATAGCTGCTCATTATGGCTGTAAAGAAGAGTTCGATAAAGTATACCCAACTGGATTAGTAAAATACATCGATGAAATATTGGAAAAGCTGAAAAACCATAACCTATCTAAGGACATCCATTTCTCCATAAATTCCAACAACAATCCCATATATAGCACTATTTTCAGCTTCAATATTTCCTGCCCAGAGCCCTATTTGATGTATAGAGCTAACATGAAAAAGATAAGATCAATAAGTGAGTTAAGGGTTTCAAATCCCGAATTAATTAAGCTCTATACGAAAAACAAAAGTTTCTACTTCAAAGCCCAGGAAACCTGCACTTTCTGTAACCAATTCATTTTTAACAGCCAGTTCCATATCCTTCTGTACTGTGAAAAGCTAACAGACAACAGAAACAAACATTTAGGAGAATTTTTCTCTCTGCGCCAAGTGATGTAAACAAGATACGAGACATACTTCGAATCGATAACATAGAGAAACACAACCAGATTTACTGGTTCATAATGTCAGCGTGAAATTCACTTTATTTCTTAAGCTCTGATGTTAATTGCTATGACTAAGGATAATTGTTGGTTAGTTCAATTAATTGTTTGTTTCTTTTTTTTCTTATGGTTTTATTGATAATGTAGATAGAAATTAATTGGAATGTAATGAAGTATTATTGTTTAGTTAGTGTTTTTATAATAAATCAATGTACAGTTATGATAAACTAGACTCATGTAGGTGAAATAAAGTTATTCATATATGTATCATTTGTACAAGATTGTAAAATAATCTTTAACAAATAAATTAAATTCAATTTAATATCCATGGCCTCTGGCCATAGCTAGTTAAGTAATTTAACTGAGAAAAATTATTTATCGACTGTGAATTTACTAACTTCTTCAGAGTATTTAGAACGCTTGGAACAATATTTCAATTTACAGAATACGCGAGGACTATTTTTCAACTTAACTATTTATGACCGGAGATCATATATATAATGATTGAATTTCAACAAATTCAAATTTGAGTTGCACTCAACTTATTGATATTATATTTGCAATTGAATGAAAATTTGAAATGAGATCACTCATACAAATTTAAAAAACTATAACGTTTCTGAAATTTCTGTGAACTGCCACTGCTGCTGTTTAAGAAAGATGCCGAGCCTGTCTTAATGCTCAAGGAAATCACTTTGAACAACATTTAATATGAATGTTAATGTTTACATTTAATTAATAAAGTTGGAACAAATTAGTAGATTTCATATAACGTAAATAATTCATAACAACAAAAATCGTTAGGTGTGAATATTTCCTTAAAAAAGCGTTCAGACATACGTTCAGAGAAAATCTTTTTCTTGTTTTGAGTTCCATTTATGCAGTTTGGCCACTTAACTCTGTATATTCGAGTAGAAGCACCAGTGATGGGAGAAACATTGTCGAATTCTTACCCTATTGATATCAAATATTAAAAGAAAATGTTAAAATAAAAAAAAAACAAAGATGGGCGTACGTAGAATAGAATTATAATAGAATAAATATTTTAGAAAAATTAAGTAAATCAGAGTTATGCTCGGATTTTTAGTGAGACTAATACTAATACCAACGATTTTTAATAAGATTATGGGATGGAATTTGTTATGGAAATCAGAATACAATTTTAAAATAGTATAAATTAGTTTTAAAAATTAATGTAAAATTTAAAGTATTTAACAAAATATTTATTTCAAATCCTTATTTATTTTATTCCAATTAAATTATTATTTATTGTTTATTTTATTATTGTTTTAAATAAATGAGAGAAAAAAAATATCTCAACTATTTAACTCCGTAAAGTTAAACAGTGAGTGAAATCAGGTAGCATGTTTGTTGTTTTGCTGCCTTTGCCAACAAAGGGATTGTTGAAACAATACAACCAGGAAAATAGTTTCCTAAAGTTAGTTGTGTGCGTTAGGAGAGATAAGCCAATAGTTTGGTTGCTAGTCGATGTTGTTTGTTATGCTACCTATTCTATTTGCGTTAAATGGATTAGGTATATTTTCAGTAAAATTAGTATTAACATATTTTTTTAAAATTTTTATCCGAATTGACATGAGGTTTATGTGTTTGAATTGTCAGCTAAAAGCTATGTAACGGTTTTTTGAGCGAACGGGTATATCAATTTTTAAGTTTGATTACTCAATTTATTTGGTGCGATTGGTTTGAAACGATTTCAACTAAAGACATTAACCCATGATTAAATAAAGTGTTTAATCAATTTTAATACACTTTTTTAAAAAATAATAACTTTCCCCACATTTTTCGCAATATATTTTCCGTTCCGAATCCTATTTTATTGGAATAATATTCTTTTAATCAGCCGCCATTTTTAAAGCAGTGTCACTTTTTAGGCCCTTGATCCTGGGCTATTGCTGAGTATTGACCGTTAGAACCATTTAATATTATGGATGACTTACAGCAACAAATCTTCAAGACAACTTAGTGCATTTTCTTATATGAAGTTTTATTATTACAGGCGCTTCCTGTTTCGAATTCAGCATTGTCCTGATTTATAAGGATATATATAGATTCATACTCGATATACCTAGTTCCGACATAAATACTCTTACAAAAGTTGAACTTTATTTACATCCTTGGGTATAATTTAGATAATATTTACCTCTATCAAGTAATTTTTTTTTTCATATCAGTATTAATTATCCCAATTAGTTTGTATTTTTCTTTCGCTCAGTCAACATGGAGTGGGATGATAAAGAAAACCGAATAACCGTGACCACCTTCCACAAAGTTGGAAAATGTAGGTTAGAGATGTTCAACTGTTTGAAACCTTTGGGTATCAGCCGTATGTTCTTGTACCGCGCTTTAAATAGATATAATGATACCCTATCTGTATGTGACAGACCTTGACCGGGCAGTCCCCGCACTGTAAGAACGGCATATGCAGTGAGAGCATTCACTGCTCGAATCAGAAGAAATACCATTCGAAAACAAAAAATCATGTCTCGAGAAATGGGAATATATGTCAGATCAATGTCTCGCATAGTAAAAAGTGATCTTAGGATGGGTGAATTTCGAAGAATGACAGGACAAAGGCTAACCACTTCCCTAAACAAAATTATAGTGGATTCACGCAAAGTGCTCCTTGGCCATTACACCAATGGTTTTCATCGAAAGCTTTTCTTAAGCAATGAGAAACATGTTTACAATTGAAGAAAAATTTAATCACCAAAATGATTATGTGTACGCAGCTCTAAAGAAGCCCAGGAAGTCATTCGAAGGTATCTTTTGGTTTCTGCAAAAGCCCTGATCTCAACCCACTTGATTATCGGCTTTGGTCCGAACTGGAGAGGATGGCATGCCACAGAGCCTGGTTCGAGCAGTTGGGCGCTTTCCTCAAGAAGTGCTGCGTGCTGTTATTGATGACTGGCCACAGAGATTAAATGCAAGATCGCCTTTGACTATTTTGAGTAATTTCTTTTTTTTTTTAACTCTCTGTAGATATACATTTTATTTTCTAATAATGTTTTTGAAAAAAAATATTTTTCTGTTGAAATCTATATATATATTTCCTTGTAACAGTATTTATGACAGGACTAGGTATATACTACAGACTTTTCTTACTTCATAGTCGCAAGAAAGTAATAATATGTAATAAACGTCTCAATAACTAAAAATTTATATTATATTTTGCTCATTCAAATAAACTGTTAATTTTAAAATATGTTTGTGTTTTTTCACGACTTGCATAGTGAAGGATAATTTTATAATATTGTCCTGCTAACTTTGGCTTCTATTAATTAAATATTTGGCTACACCGCGGTCCTGGAACTTGCCCATGCAGAGGAATAAATTAATTAATCCGTTCCAAGGCAGTGGTCGGAGGGGTTAGGGCCGGCGGTCAGGTGGTGGCTATTTCGCTGAAGGGATATCAGTCCCAGTCCTTCCCTTCCTCTTGCAACTCCTTCCAATATTGCCCTTTCTCTCTGCCCTTCCCTTATGGCGAGCGTCCGCTGAATAAAATTCTTTAAGATAATTGGATTTGTCATGGTAAAACCTGTTAACGTTAATGAATCGAAATATTATATTATAAATGTTATATTAGGTTGTCCGGATGGTAGTCTAAATAGAAAATAGCTTTTACGGTCTTCTCGTATTGATAGGTATTCAACTGAAGCCATTTCTCTTATTTGTACGATATTATTGCCAAGTAAAATAGTATGAAATAGTTTGTAAAGAGTCCTTATGTGTTGGTCAGTTGTAAGCTGGTGAAAGTCAATATGTAAGGTTTTGTTAATCACGTATCAAGGTGCTTTAGTTATGAGTAATAATTTTGATTGAAAAATATGAAGTTTTTGTAACTGGGTCTTTTTAGCTATAGAGTGAACGTACCTGTTATGGACAAATTGGACTTACGAGTACGTGTGGTAGGAATGGTGTTCTAGCCCTGAAGAAGACGTGAAAAGTTGGTTCGAAACGTAGGCTTAAAATTATTTATTTTTTTTTTCAATTTTTCACGTGTTTTTATGATCGCCAGTCCGAGTTATCTTCTTCTTCAATAATTATTTTTTATTTATGTTTTGATAAACTGGAGTAAAGTAATCAAGAAATGTCAATTATTTTTCTTATTTTTTGCTCTCTGGAAAGCATTGTTCTAAGGTTGAAAGAGATGGGGAAGACTGGTTCATATAATCTAAGATCCTCATGCCTTAAGGAAAATATATATAAAATAAGCACTAATAAAATATGTCTCGTAAAAATTTTTTTTCTTTTGGCCTAACCAACCAACAGATTTGTCTTTTTCTTTTATTATTTTTTTTAAGGCTTTATTGTTTACTTCATACATACATTTAGTATTCTGATGTCTACATCTCAATAATCATTTTTCAGTCTTTCAAATACTAATTTCTTCTGTGATTATATTACGATACAATAACCCAAGAACTAGAGGTATTCAAGTACTCGAAACACGCCTTTAAGATGACCCAAATTTTTGGGTTGAAACGTTGGCAACAATAAAAACTTTATCAGCTGTATCTTGAATATTTATCACCCATGATATATAAAACAGTCGTGAACTTCCTTCATTACATCATTTTTTCTTTATATACATGTTTTATGTTAGTTTGTTAATTATTAATGTAGTTCTAAAAGTTTAAAGATCTTCATACTAGTATATTTTTTAGCAATGACTTATATATTAAATATTATATTTTTATTATGCAACGTAAATTACATAAATCAATTATATAACGTGCTTTATATAATTGCGTAAAGTTCCTTATTCGTTGTTGGAATTATACTTTTCGAGCTGAAGGGTGAGATGAATAAATTTTCCTGTTCTGAATATTAAGTGTTATAATATATTTAGCTTTACTCCTCCGTTGTGTAAATAATTTTCTCTCTCTCGCCTCAACTTTTTTTTTTTTAATTGTATTATTTTTTATCTTGCAGTAGAAGTATTTTAACAACCTTAAAATAAAAATCAAATATCATAATTCTAACTCTAGCCTGTGTACTATAATTCTTTTAATGCTTGCTAATTTATATTCTTTTAAACTTCTCTTATATATAATCTAAACGATGGTATTCGTTTCTTAGTTTTTCCCCTATATTATTTAATAATCTTACAAACTAATATCAGAAGTTTTTCAAGTGGCTCCCAATGAAATTGATACATCTCGTAGAAAAATAGGAAAAAAATGTAAATAGTACTGTAAAAAAAAACAAACTCATAAACAGATTTATTTATAATCTTTATATAAATATTTACAAACTCAATAAAATTAATATATTCAGCTATGATTATTTAAAAAAATAAATTAAATATAGGATAATTTTACCTCACATTAAAAGTGATACATCTCACTTATAATTTTTTTATTATTTTTTTTATTTATATGATATTTACAACTGTATAAAAAAATACATAAAAAAAAATACAATAAGTAAATTCGCACATGGATATAATGACATGAAACACATGTTGAGAAACTACCTATTGGTAGCACTCTAATAATATGTCTATATTAGGAGATCACGTGGCCATCTTCTTTTCAGACGCCTCGGAGGGTTATCAGGAATTGAAGAGGAAGCAAGGTTAGAAACAAGAGTGTTGGGATGGTTATGAAGTTTATTATGGAAGGACAGATAAGGATTGGGCCAAATCTGATACATGAGAAACATTAACGTCATTGTGTATGATTTTATTTGTAACAAAGTAAGGAGCAGTAAGGAATTTACGAAGGATTTTGGATTGTAAGGATTGGATACGAGAGGAATTTGAAGCCCCATAGCTCAACTCCGTAAGTCCAAATAGGCCTTATTATAGTCATGTAAATGAGTCTTTTGTAAATAGTTGGAAGTTTAGAGCGCTTGTCTAGTAAGTGCTGCAGTAGTCGAAAACGCCGGGTGTTTCTAGTCGTTTCAGTCTGGTATGGAGGTTCCTAGTGAGTCGTTTGTCCAGGTGGAGGCATCGTATTTGTTCAACAGGGATAAGTGGGCTATTGTTGAAGGAGCTTATATAATTTAAATAATAGTTTTAGATTTACTTAATCGCAACGATTCATGGAGTAATACCTATTCGTTTAATAACAAGTCTGGAAATGAATGAATCGTTGGCATTGTTCGAGCTTGAAATTGATAACCTTTGAATTTATTTGCAAGATTACATGAATATTTAATCTTAAAAAAAAAATCTTTTTAACTAATCAAAACTAAAAATTATTTTTTACACATAGAACGTTTTTTATCTTAATAATATTTTAACTTTCTTATATGTTTGAAGTGTAAAATTATGCTGCTTGGTGATCATGAATCTTTTAACTGTAATTTAAACAATTTATCAATGGTTTGCCTTTTTCAATTTGTATAGAACATAATTGTGTTTAATTTTATTTATGCAATTAAATTCATTTATGTGAATACATCCAATCATAAAAATTATTTTCGGTCCGCAAGACACTAATATAGATAGATACATCTAAAAACATAAACTAATTTTGCCTACAAATATGCTTAAGTTAATACAGTAATGTAGTAACTATAATGAAAGTTTTTATTTATTTCTAGCCTTCATTAATAATGGAAGCTAAAAATTACATCCCTAAGCTTAACAGCTGAAACATGTCTAATAAAAAAACGCTACAAATTATTTCACAATGGTTTATTATTTCCAAACAATTATATATCTAAAGTAACATTACCTTCCTAGTTACAAATAAAAATAAATGGAAAGTGATTCCAATTATTGGACTAAACTTTTTTATTTTAATCATTATTAATATCATAAAAAAATAGCATTATCTAAGTAACACATTCAAAATTCAAAAACCAAAAACAAAGTATATAACCTTCGCAGCAGAACATATAAAAAAACAAAAACTAGAGGCCATATCTTTGCTTTTAATTGTCCAATTTTAACGATTTTTTTAGGAAAATCCGTAAACTTTTAAAAAACCATACAATACAAAAAAGTGTATATTTTTTGAGTCATTCGGGATTTAATTTTACCATCCCTCGTAACCTTTTTTTCCAGCTTCTTTTTGTTGAAGTACGTTATATAGATAAATTTGAAGGGCTTCGAGAAAATGACTTTAGCGAAGTTTCAGTGAAATCGGTACATTCGTTTAGGCGCTACAGTCTATAGCAACGCAGGTTTTTTGCCCGCAATTTTGAAAGTAAAAGGCGAATAGTAAATGTCGATGAAGGAGGGTCATCCTCGGGTGAGCTCTGACGGCGGACGGACTAAAATTTTTTTTATTCGTTTTTCGAATTCTACTTATCCTGAAATGTAAAAGCTCAACTTTTGAGAGGGATTAAGTTTTTGAATTTTTCGGTCGATCAGATAGGTCCATTATTGAAAACAATAAACCAAAAACTGTTGGATTTTCATGATGAGTTCAAAGATTCGTTGGAACGCAGAAAGAGCTTGTGTTTCGTTTGGAAAAAGCGAAACGAAAAACAGATCAAACAGCGACTCGACTAGTGACAAACGGGTGAACTAAAGAAAATAACTGTTATTCGTTTGGAAGAACAGTTTATTCGTTTGATATCAAGAACTGTTCTTTTTAAACGTTTGGTGTTTTCTCTCCCACCCCTACTGGTAGCAGGTAGCATTACACGTGGCTGCGTGAAATAGAACATTGAAGAGAGGTGTGTGTTGGGGGTATAAGGCTGATCGACGTCGTTTAAGGCCCTACTCACGTCTGCTGGTGATGTTTAAATAGTTTGTTTGCTCCTGCTGGTTGCTTAGCTGGTCACTTCCCAATGCGGTGGTTGCCCATCAAGCCCCCTGTTCTTATTCCCACCACGCACCGATCCTCTGGTAGCGAAGAGTAACAGGTTTCATTCCAGGGCACCGCTAGTTCTAATTAGGAGATCGTATCTATGATTTTAATCTCTTTGAAATATTCAAAAGTTAATATTAAATTTATTCATTTTAAATTTAAGGCATTTTTAAATTAACAAGCTATAAATACTCGGCTCTGGATAGGACACAATAGGAAAGAAATCCTTCTCCAATACGCAATATTACCTTAAATAGTGAACACATCCTAGCAAATTGTCAGCCCTTATATTCATCAGAAGGTCGCTCACTATAGGCGTATTCATTCATTTGTAAATATTGAATGTGCTATCTAGCTAAGCCATCATCCAACAAAGTTTGAATGAATTGAGTCTGTGCTAAAGTGTTATTAGTTCTAACAAGGTATACGTTACGTTTTGATTTCTTTTTAAAATGCCAAAGCCAAGTAAACAGACTGAGTTGCTGAATTATTTGTTTATAAATGGTTTACTAGAAAGCGTGAATGAAGATCCAGAAGATTCTGAAGGCAAAAACTTGATGAATACATGGATGAAATCCTAGCTGCCTTTACATTACATTTCTGTGGATAAAGGACACAAAGCTTAAAGAGTCAGACACATTAAAAACTTACAATAACCTTCTCCGTATGTTTGCGATATTATCAAAACTTAACAGGATCTTTAGTTGCGTTAAAATCGTGAGTGT